AACGTATAGATGTTGCCATTCTGTCACTAGCATTTTGTTGTTATGGTGTTTAAATTCATGGTGTAGATTTTTCCAAGACCCAGTGCTTACAAATCTCTATGCTCAGTGCTGAGGTTTACTAGTTTTAATACTTTTAAGATTTTAATTATTTTATGTGCCACCAATTTTCTGAAGATACTACTGAACTTTTTTTTCTGTTTCTAAGCAATTTATTTGTTTCTATCCTGATTAGATCCTATATATGATTTGGGTTTGAATAAATCACCCTTTCTTTAGAGGCGCGGATCTAATTGGAGATTACAGTTGATCTGCACTTCTGCTCACAGTAGGATTAAAATGGAACAGAGATTTAGCCTAATCCACCCATTCCACTATGAACCTGGAAGATTTTGCATATCGCAAACTGCCTATATGTAATCATTTCCAGAAGACTGGTCATGTAAGTTGTTGCAACAAGAATAAAAAGCTGAAATGCCTGAAAATTGTTATGACATGACATTTCAAGGACAGTCATCAATTTCATCTGCTGCACAGTACTTTATGTACAAAAGCTTTATAACACTTTTGTATTACATTGATATCCAAGGCCTTTTGACAATGGAATCATCTCTCAATTGTCAGAGCTCCTAAAAGAGAATAAGACAAAGGAGTGGGTACAAACATAAAAATAAGTGGAGCTTTGATCCCACTATTTCTGCTGCCGGCTTGTCTTTTTTTTAACCCTAACCTGTGGATATTTCAGTAAGATACAGGTAATCCTTGATTTACATTTATAATTGAGTCCAGAATTTGGGTTGTAAGTCATTAAGAAAGTCATTATAGTTGTTAAGCAAATCATGATATTAAGCAAACCACATGGTTGTCAAGTGAATCCAGCCACAGCTAATGAACATTTTTGCTGTATTCTGCTGAAGAAAAAAGCAAAAAAACATAGCAGATCATGGTGACGTCAATGTGGGACACTGCCACCAGTCATAAACGTGATCTGGTTGCCAAGTGCCGGAAATAGAGTCATGTGACCACATTAGGAAGGTGTGCGGCAGTCATAACTTCAAGGGCAGCTTGTAAGAAGCTTTTTTGAAGTCCGTCATAACTTCAAATAGTCATTAAGAGCCAGTCATTAAGAAAGGGCTATGTCTTTCTCTTCTTAGTTTCATAAATATTACAATGAAACCATGTTGTGTCTTTGATTTCTGATTTTATTGGATTTATGTGGAGTTTATCAACAAAGTGAGGTCAGATAGCTAATTTGTTCTCACGTTCAGTACTCTGGGTGTCTATTTTCATACTGGGCTCATCCTAAAATTTTGTTCTGGATACAGCAGGATTATGAGTTATTATTTCTGGGTCAGAATTATTGATGTACCCTGAGTTATTGAAGCAAACTCACTTGGTAGAGGGTAGGGAGTTTGTTCATTTGTTGCACAAACAACAAACGTCCATTGCAAAGTTATTTTATAAATGTACTGTAGTTTTAATTTCATAATCAGTGCTTTGTACTGGGTCATATCCTGTGACCCTTGGATTGCAGATAAAGCAAGTGTTCTATCTGGGAGTTGATCTTGAAGATCAGAAGTTTTAGATGTAGTATAGAGTATAGTCACCCATTGTTATAAACCTGGGCTAACTTCCTCATATACTAGTTGTTTGCTGAGCCATATTTACCATCTATTAGCTCATGTCCCTAGACATTGTATATCTTGATATTTCTCTTATGGGAATACCTTCTTTTATACAAATTTCCCCCACCAAGAACTAATAACTTATAATGGAATTTACTATAGATTCTATCTTACAGACCAGGGGTGTCAAACTCAATTTCATTGAGGGCCGCATCAGCATTGCGGTTGCCCTCAGGGTGCCAGGTGGGTGAGGCCTACTGGGTGGGTGTGGATGGAGTGGGTGTGGCCTACTGGGTGGGCGTGGCCAGCTCTACATCATTCGCGTCAAGGGTGCCTGTGGGGGCCTGGGCAGGAGTTGGACATGAAGCCAGATATGTGAAGTAGGCGAGGGCCATTTGCTGGCCACTTCCAGGCGATGGTGCATTTCTTCATTTCTCACAAAGGGTGACACCTCCCCAGTGTGCGCCCAGGGGGTGGGGCCAACAGAGCAGGGGCTGGTCCCTTGCTGTTTCCAGACGGCCTTGTGGAGCTAAGACTGAATGCGTTTCAGCATAAATGGTCACCACAAAATTGTACATTGGCTCCCAGCCGGCCAGGGCCAGGGCCAAGGCAGCTGGGGCCTTCCCTCACTGTTCCCAGGATGGCTTCGCGGGCCACATGAAACCACTTCGCGGGCCGCATCCGGCCCCTGGGCCTTCTGTTTAACATGTCTGTTACAGACTGTCTATATTAGTTCCTATGTGCATCAGAGCCTTTTCATGGGCAGTGCTCTCCTCCTGTGATACCTTTTACACAAAAATGCACATAATCATTTTCTTGTTTCCTTTTTGAAGGCAGATTTAAGTTGCAATCTTATACCCATTTATTTATGTCAGTTCTCCCAGGTAACCAGACAGGTAACTTGACCAGATGAGCTAATTCTGTTTTATTGTAAGACTACATTGACAGGCTTTTTTTCCAAGTCTGAAAATACAAACCTTCTGCAGTCACTTTAACCACCTATCAATTAGGGCTGGTTTTTCCTAAGTTTCTTTCTCTGATCATTAAGCAGCTGTGGGCTCCTTCTTCTCTTATCGTTTCCTAGGCAGCTTCTCTTCCACTCATCCCTCAAGATCATTCCCCCATACGAGTATAATTTAAGAACAAGATTTGCTTTAATACAAGCATGTGCACATTTAACTCTAAAACTTCGTTTTTCTAGATTATGCTAGAAAATGATCCTGTTTTTATTATTACAGACATTTTGATCACTGTGTTATTTATTTAAATAGTTAGATCCTTTGTCCTTAAGGCTATTTTCAAAGATTGTATGTCAAGCAGGGCTTTTTTTCTCATAGAACGCCCAGAACGGAGTTCCGGCACCTTTTTTGGATGGAACCTTATAGGATAGGCAAGGCGGGTTGTATGACGTGTGTGAGTTCCGGCACCTTTTTTTTTTTTTTTTTTTTAGAAAAAAAGCACTGATGTCAAGTATTAGTCTATGCTATGCTTTTAGTGATAATTTGAATATTTTATTTTTTTACAAAATTCATGGATTGAAATGATTGAAATCTTATTTTATTCATTTGTAATTTCTATTAGTGTTAATGCAGCAATACATTGCATCTATTTGGTAGCAGCATTATTTTGATGATGTAGATTCAAGCTGCCATTATTAAAATGCCATTAACTCTCAACATAAGTGTGCCAAGCCTTTTTAAATACTTGATTAAACACTAGAACCTGTGCCAAAAAAATATGAATGAGGCTGTGTATTGCTAGTTGAAATAAAAAGGCCAAACGAGCCAATTGTAGGATTCAAGTGCTACCTGTTGAAAATCAAATTCAGTTGACAGATGTTTTGTAAAGAAAGCTTTACAAGTAACTAAAAGTAGTTCTTTGTCTTACTCATGGGTACTGTTTCTTTATTAAGATGGCTGAAATTAAAACAGGAAAACATTGCTGGTAGATAAAGAGCCTTCTAATTATTTCATGAATTAGGAACTGGTAATTGGATTATTCAAGAGGAATGTTAGTTCTTACTCAATTCTTTGTAAGGGGATCTAGGATGATCATGTCACACTTCACTTGTTAATTCACAATAGACTTTCATTTGCTCAGCATATTTTAGGGGTGGGCTGTAACTGTTTCCATATGAAATAGCTCGTTTTACCTCAATAAAATATGACTTGCGTCTTCTAAAAATGCTTTTAGTTGCTTTTGTTTTGTTTAGTTGCTTTTAGTTGTTCAATATTATATGGCAATGTACCACATGAGGTATTAGAACATGGCACCTGCCAGATCCTAGAGGTAATCCTCCCCCGTATTAAAAATTACTATTCTCATGACATTTCAGTTAGCCACAAAAATACAGACTCCTAGAGAACATTATATACTGTTACAAGTAAAATGTTCTGGATTAATTCATTAGTAAATACATTCATTTACTATGGAACAAGATCCAGGTTTCCCAGTTTATACTTTTTTGTCTTTGAAACTTGAAACTATTATACCATAATTGTATTACACCTGAATGTGCATCTGATTTGAGTGAAAATGTAGGAAAAAAATCTAGTAAAGTTGAAAGCTAATGCGCAAAATCCATATTTATTATAAATCAAAGCAAATTGCGCAAATATTTAATGAAGCTATTATGCCTTCTTTATAGCAGTGTAGCAGAATTATAAATCAGAATGTCCCAAGGGTTTATCTTTATAATACTGGTAACATTTAGGCTAATTTGTGGGCAACATTGTATTTCTTCAGTCCCAGCCAGCCATTTCTTCAGCTCTTAGCCATTAAAGCACAGTCCCTCTCTACAAAAGATTGTCCATCATTACATTGTTAGGCATTTGTCACATTTTTCCAAAATAGAAAAGCAATTTACTTCTCATGTATTTCTGAACTGTGGAATAGGTGGACTTTAATCAGCAAAATTACAAGATGGAGTTTGAGCTTTCATTTAATTATAGAACAGACTATATGTATTGTGCATTATCTAGGTAATAAATTGCAAAACAGATAATAGGTCAATGCAGAGTCTACACAGAATCTGTAATTGCATTACTCATAAAAGTCCTAAAATGCAGTAACCTGTTGCTTAGCTAATCAGTATTATATCAGAAGTAGCCTAAATTTATATGGTGCAGGTGTCTATTGTATACTTCAATTTCCCAATTGATTTTTATATACCTGCAGTTGAGAACCAGTGATATAAAACAGAAAATATTAAATGGATAGTGTGACACATTTCTGGTTGTAATGCTGCTACCCAGTACCCATATAAAAGATCTCAATAGCAGTGTAGCTACCTAATAAAAGTACTTGCATTTAGAAGTATTTGATTAGCTGTTAAAATTACTTTGAACAATGTTTCATCTGGATATATATATGTTTTAGTTTTTATGCAGATTTTGGACCTTTAAACTTGGCTCTGGTGTATCGATTCTGCTGCAAATTAAACAAAAAATTAAAGGTAAGAATGTCCTCTTATTTTTTTTATTGATCTTGTTAATCTCTGTAAGCTTCCAGAGGTGTAGGTGAGTGCTTGGCTTTACTGATTGATTTTTTAAATAGTAATTTTATAAAAATTACACTGAACAATAAAAACTAATGCTAACTAAAAAAAATAAAATAAAAAGAAAAGCAGAAGGTTCATCAGCTGGGGTGTTGTTTTTTTTGAATGACCAGTGTAATCTCTTTTTCCATGTTACTTTTGTAGCCTGTGATTTTAAAATCCACTTTCAGATCAGTCTTAATGTTGTCAAGTAAAACTTGTTTCTCCTAAGATCTTTTAAACAGAGTCTATCTAGAGCAGGGGTGTCAAACTGCTGGCCCCTGGGCCGGTTTCATCATACCGGAGCCGCGCCCACCCCATTGCCGGCAATGGCAAAAAAGCTCCCATACGTCGCACGACATCACGTGATGTCGCGAGTTTGACATGCCTGATCTAGAGAGGCAGACATTAGTATAATTAACTACCGGGTCCATTGTTCAAAAATAAATTTCAATATATCCAATGTTAGAATATTCTGCTTCATTCTGTATTTATAAGTCAAATTTAAACATTCTTCTCCTTTAATTATAATCTTAGTTCCCTCTAGTGTCTAACCATCAGTCCATATTATGTTTTTTTTTAAGAATTTAAAACAAATATTTTCCCACAAGAAGGTTCTTATTTCAAATCCATCTGGACCCTTAGTTTGCCCTTTTGCCTTTTATTAAACAAAAAAAAAAGTCCTTAAACTTGTATTTAAAAGTTCTTCCGCTAAGGATTTGTCTTCCCCCAAATGCTAAATATCAAACCTGTATAAATGAATATGCTTCTGTATCATAATACCCAGATGGATCAAAGAAGCAGCATTATAAATAAATAAGCGACTGATGGCATGCTATATTTGTGAAAGTGGGTGAACTGAAGGCTGTGTAAAGAGTCTGTCTGCCAAACTCCAATCAAGGTGTCCTGTGGTAATTAGTGGAGCCATCACAATATTATAACACCCTAACAGAAGCTGTGGTTTCTCTAGTATTTAATGAAATGTGTTCTAGGAGTATATACAAACTTTTAAAATAACTCTGTTGCTGTCCAAAGTTTGCATATTTTGCCTAATAACACAAAAATCACTATATAACTTTAGTTAATTCTTAGAGGAAAGTGATTTTGGCTAATTACTGTTAGAAGAATGTGCTAGAGCAAAACAAATTATGCATGTTCTGACCAGTTCCTGGATCATGATAAGCACATGATAAGTGCACATGATAAGTGCACATGATAAGTGCACATTTTCTATCGTAAATATTCACCACCTGTCTAATCATTTAAAGATGTATGAAATACCACAGCTGAGATCACTTAGGGTAAATATTCTGAGCAGATAAGTTTAATTTTTCTAAACAAAACAACAGGATTTTGTGGTATCAAAACTGATTTACATTTATTACCTCAGTGAAATATTAAAGCTGTATAAAGTTTTATTTCCTTGGGTGTTATAGTGCAGTTCTGTATAAATACCTTGGGACTGTGCCATGAATTCTAAATAAATATAAATAGGATTGGGCTGCATGTTAACTAAATGTCCAATATATTGCTTCCTGTGGAGATTAGATCCTCTTAATGATGATATGAACAGTATATTTACTAATACAGTTAAGACCTTGTCCTCTTTTAAAATCATACTTGAATTAATCTCTCACCTTGTTGTTTACTCATGTACAACACAAAGGTTTTCCTTCATAAGGGAGTTCCGTGAAACAATATATGTAATTACTCGCCTTTTTACCACCTAATAATAAGACGAAAAATAAAATGGTACAAATAGTCCTCAGGTTATGATGGCAATTGGGAATGGAATTTCCATCACTAAGCGATGTTCTAAAGTGTGACATTCCATGACCACATCACTTAGTAATGGTAATACCAGCAGTCCCCAATGCCATCATTATGGCAGTTTGTTAAGCAAGGACCCCATGTGACCATAATGTGGAAAGAGGCATTAAAACTGCATTCCAGGCAAACAGGGTGACAAGACTATAGAGTACAAGCTGGTTGTCAGTTGCCAAGGTGGGTATGGGCAGATGGGCAAGCACTAAGTGCAGGTGGGCTCTACAGAAAATGCAATTCTCATGACCACCCAGGAAGTCTTTGGGGAAAAAAAGCAATGGGGATGACTTGCTGGAGTGATTTGTGACCTCCTGTTGGTTTCCCCGTTGACTTTGTTTCTGGGAAACCTGTAGAGCAGGTTGCAAGTAGTAGTCTAGTGGTTAAGACACCAGGCTAGAAAGGAATAGATTGTGAATTCTAGTCCCATTTTAGCCCATGAGGCTAAAGCTGAGTGACTTTGGGCCAGTCACTTATTCTCAACCCAATTTATCTTACGTAATTGTTACATAGTTACTTACATAGGAAAATAGAAAGAGTAAGGAGTATCGGTATGCTTATATTTATTTATTTATTTATTTATTTATTTATTTATTAAATTTATATACCGCCCTATCTCCCGTACGGGACTCAGGGCGGTGAACAGGCGATACTAAAAACCCCAATAATAAATAAATAGTTTCTGTTCTATAGTCTTGAGTTGTCTGTAAAAACAATAAAGGTGGGATATAGTGCCACTGGGCACTATCTAACAAAATGAAATTCAATGGTGAAAAAGCAAGGTTCTATATTTAGGCAAGAAAAACCAAATGTACAGGTATAGTATAGGGGGTACCTTGCTCTATAGTAGTAACTGTGAGAGGGATCCCGAAGTCGTAGTGGACAATCATTTAAATATGAGCCAGCAGTGTGCTGCAGCTGCCAAAAAGGCCAACATAGTGCTAGGCTGCATTAACAGAGGGATAGAATCAAGATCACGTGAAGTATTAATACCACTTTACAATGCCTTGGTAAGGCCACACTTGGAATACTGCATCCAGTTTTGGTCACCGCGATGTAAAAAGATGTTGAGACTCTAGAAAGAGTACAGAGAAGAGCAACAAAGATGATTAGGGGACTGGAGGCTAAAGCATATAAGGAACGGTTGCTGGAAGGACGAGGGGGGACATGATAGTAGTTTCCAGTATCTCAGGGGCTGCCCCAAAGAAGAGGGAGTCAAGCTGTTCTCCAAAGCACCTGAAGGCAGGACAAGAAGCAACGGATGGAAACTAATCAAGGAGAGAAGCAACCTAGAACTAAGGAGAAACTTCCTGACAGTTAGAACAATTAACCAGTGGAACAACCTGCCTCCAGAAGCGGTGAATGCTCCAACACTGGAAGTTTTTAAGAAGAGACTGGATAGCCATTTGTCCAAAATGGTATAGGGTTTCCTGCCTGAGCAGGGGGTTGGACTAGATGACCTACAAGGTCCCTTCAAACTTTACTATTACTATTACTATTACTATTACTATTACTATTACTATTACTATTACTATTATTATTATTATTATTATTATTATTATTATTATTATTATTATATAAATCATGGGACCACAGGATGCAATCACACTAATTATAAGCCAGTTGCCAAGTATCTGAATCACAATCACATGACCCCAGGGATGCTGCAACTTCAAGGACTGGTCACAAGAGCCCCTCATTCAGCACCATTGTAACTTTGAATGGTTGCTAAATGAGTGGTCGTATCCTGAGGACTTCCTATATTATTTTTCGAGGGTTGTTTTTTTTTTTCTGCTTTAAATGATATAAGTCAATTAATTAGTTACATAAAGGTGACTTTGTGCTTTAAATTTATCAAAATATAAAGTTTAAAAGTGTGTAGGGGCTGAATTGCAAACTTTTGTTATAAGTTACTGGCTAAATAGTTGTAAGAGTCAGTGTTACTTTTATTCTTATTTCAACCTTCAGTAAAATCTGTAAATTTTAGTGAACACAAATCCATGGTATCATGGTGATTTTATATAATACTGACTGTAATCACTGAGGATTTCAGAACATACCCAAGATTATTGGAATATAATTTTATACATCCAGTTAATAAAGAATAAGCTGCTTTTAATTACTTGTGCAATGTTAATTTAAATGTATAATAAAAGCAACATAGAAAACCTATTTTTATGGCTTCAGTTTCTTACATTAGCAGTGATTTAAGCATGAAAGCTAGTAAGTTATACAATAATATATCATGCAAATTCATGTTTAGCACTCTTAAATATCAATGCATATAGATATTTAAGAGTTTGTAATATAGGACTCCATTGTTAAAAAACAGTCTTTCAAAATAATTGAAAATTACGACCATAATTGAGCCCAAAATTTCTGTTGTTAAGTGAGACATTGGTTAAGTGAGTTTTGCCCCATTTTAAGGCCTTTCTTGCCACAGTTGTTAAGTGAATCTCTGCAATTGATAAGTTAGTAACCTGGTTGCTAAGTAAATCTGGCTTCCCCATTGACTTTGCTTGTCAGAAGGGCACACAAGGTGATCACATGACCTTGGGACACAGCAACGGTTATAAACATGAACCAGTTGCCAAGCATCTGAATTTTGATCACATGATCATGGAGATGCTGCAAAGGTGGAAACTATGAAAAACAGTCATAAGTCACGTTTTTCAGGGCTGTTGTAACTTTGAATGGTCACTAAATGAACTGTTGTAAACGGAGGACTACCTGTGTCCCCGATAAATTATAGCTATCAAGACCAGTGTTTAGAATTAATGACTATTCCTGCTTACTCTGAATACTCATTTCTTGAACAGTATTACTAATATACTTTGGTTAATGTTGGATGTATTTTAAAAAAAATAATGTGGTCCCACAAGATTGTAAACTTTTAACGTTATTATGTGATTGATATACATTAACTACGTTGTATATTTTATGTCGCCCAAGAGAATTCCTCTTCCCTCGATGTGACCTAGACCAGCAGTCCCCAACCTTTGCAGCTTGGTGGCTCAGCTGGGGGAGGGGGAGAGAGACGAACCAGGCTGGGTGAGTGGCAGGCTGGTGCGCATGCACGTGCAGCTCGATGTTTGCAAGTTGAGCTGTGTGTGTGCACGGACACCGGCCCACTGCTCATGCACACCGGCCCGCCACTCGCACAGCCCTGTTCCTAATAGGCCATGGCCCAGTAGTGAGCCATGGACCAGAGGTTGGGGACCCCTAGACAAGCCAACATTTGGACGCCTATGATTAACTTATGGACTTCAACTCCCAGAATTCCTCAGCCAGGCACGCTGGTTGAGGAATTCTGGGAGTTGAAGTCCACAAGTCATAAAAGGGCCAAGTTTGAAGACCCCTGATTTAGACATTTAATTCTAAAGCACAGTAATCTTAAATAAAGGAAGAATTGTCTTAGAATTCATGAGCTAAAAGGGGGTGGATATTCTGATTCCCTACACCTAACATAATATTCAGACTAACAGAGGGAATAAAGAATTGCATGCAGAGAAGAAATACTCCCATTATATGGGGGAAGGGGTTAGGGAGCACTTTCTTTGTACTCTGGTTTAAATTTGGCTGGGATATGACCGGATTTGAAGCACATGCCAGAAGCCTGTTTAACTGATGAATCAGTGAGCTGAGACATTTGGCATAATTTTGTGGTCTGCTCCTAATCTTTTTATTTATTTGTATCTTAAACAGTCTTTCAGTCTATCAAGAAAGAAAATTGTGTATTATACCAGCTTTGACCAACGGAAAAGAGCAAATGCAGCATTTTTAATAGGTGCCTACGCAGTAAGTAGCAATAGCTGTGTGCATTTCTAATGAGAAGTTGCTGATACTTCAGTCTCTAAATAGATACTGCAAAAGCTAGCATCCCTGCTTTTTTTTTAGGATTTTAAGAGTTGAGAGCAAGAAGGCTCTGGAAGGAAGCAGTTCCCATTTGCATTTTTAAGCTGCTCCCAACCGTAAAAGTATTGCTTAAATTATTACCTGGGAGGGAATAAGGGAGGAGATAAACTTCCCACACACTTCCACGCTCATTCCCGTCACTTATCCCCCACCCCACCCATTTAGAGAGTTGCAAGAGAGATTTGAAGGGTGGAGTTGGGAACTAAAAGATTATGCCATCAACATAGAGTGGCAAATTATTGCTGAATTTTGATGAAGTTTTATTGCTAAATTATAGCATCAGGACCCTGGGATTTGCAGGCTCATTCTTGTTTTACACAACTGTAGCATTTGTTTTCTTGTAGATGTTTTACCTACTTTTTTTTTATTAAGAATAGTTATTTTGAGAAATGAAACCTTTCTTTGGGGTATGTTTTTACATGAATGGTCAAAATTGTAGAACTTTTTTTTTAAAGCTAGTATTTTGTGATTTATGGGCTTTGTGTTATGTTTTACGTACATCTTTATTAATATACAGTACTGTTAATTTAAATAGGTAATATGTACATTTATTATTTATTTATTTAATTTAATTTATATGCCGCCCTTCTCCCAGCGGGACTCAGGGCGGCGCACAACATATTTAAAACCAAAGCATATATACAATCCCCCCCTTAAAACCGAATTAAACCAAATTTTAAAGTTGTGTCTTCCAAATTCCTAAAAAACCCAGTATAAAATCCACCCTAGGTCAGGTCCGCTTGCTGAAAG